TTTAAAAATACTGTTTATTTGCCTTAGACTGTTCGCAATTATTTTCATCTGTTATTTTTGTTTCTAATCATTGTTTATTAAATGCATAACAGATTATTTTTAAACGCATACTCAAACCTCACATTTTTTTCCCTTTCTAGAGTAATTTCTGATGCTTAAACGCCGTGCGCTGAAACACTTTGCAATCAAACGTGGAATGTCTCGTAGTTAGCGATAACACCTGCGTGCTATTGTAGCAGCCTGAATGAAAACACATGTGGAGCACTCTATATGGGGTAGCAAGCTCTATTTGTAGGAGTTATTTCGTTGAGTATTGAAAACATCCCATGCTTTGAGAATACTGCCTCACATAGTCACATGGTTAGCAATTCCTGCCACTGAGCCAGACCTCTTCCAACAGAAATACCTTCTAGCAAACCAACATAATTTCTTGTAGGGAACCGACAGTATCAATATTTACTATTTCACTAGAAATTGACTAATACAATTGTAGTTAATCACTTCGGAGACACAAGTAGTTGGAGGCACTCTCATTTATTCCAGCCATCACAGGCACAGGGGAAAACTATATACTTGGTCAGGACAGCCGGCACACTGCCTGTCCAAAAACGCTGAGGAGGTGAAGACGAGGACGAAGACGTAGAACGATGGGTTATATTCTAGATGCCCCATCGTGGCCTGGCTCCGCCTACGGCGATGCCCCCTTCTGGAACCTACCAGAAGGTTCTGGGCTTCACCTGATGTGTCCCCTCCGTCACCTTTGCCCTACATCCCTTTCTCCGGTCTATCACGTGCCCTGCTAGCAGACCGGGCTGCTACACCCACAAATCCCCCTCTCTGCCAGTAACCAGTGACCCCTTCTATGTCACTACACAATTATAAATGATGGAGCAACTTTCTTCTCAAGGCACTATCCCAACTGTATATATCTGGCGGTGACAATGTCCAGCGTTAGCGCTTTTACTGGACATCTGTCAAAAAAAAGCTTCATAGCTCATCAGATTCCTCAAGACTAAATAAATATTCTGATTTAGACTTTTCTGATTGTTGCAGAGAATCACGGTTCGAATCCGACAGGCCACCCCAGTTATTACTGCAGGTGTATTAACCATAAAATGTGCGCCATGGACGCTAAAGATTTGTGACAATTCAAAGTAGAGTAGGTCATTGTGTGCTGGCAACAATGGTGTAAATTTGCCAGTTAAAAAAGCCTAGCATATTATTAAATAATTATTTAATTGGAAAATACATTGTAATTGTCACTCTTGAAACAAATTGGCTGGTCCCTCCTGAATTTTTTTTTATTAAGACTCAGTGGGGATTTACTTGGTAATTAAGCATATGAATTATAAATATAATGCCAAGAAAAGTGCAGTTTTGTCAGTACATATTGCATCGGTCTAATGTAGCCAGAATCAGCACTCTTAGGCAATCATATGAATGGCACGTGGAATGGCAGTTATATACAATATACTTTTGATTTAAAGATTTCCTGACTGCAGGGATTCATATTCTTGGTTCTTTCGGTAAAGTCCCGTAGAAGGGAAACAATAAAATAATAAAAATATATAATAAAATTATCACGACGTTTCGACTGCAATACAAGCAATCATCATCATCAGGTGTGAAAACCACAACAAGAAAATTTTTAAAAAGTGGCGGTTTCTTTTTTAACGTTAGCACCACGGATAGAGATTTGACAGTTTGTTCAGATGGACGAGTCCATCTATGTTCGGAAAAGAGGAGGGGGGGGGACGAAAAATAATGGATGCGGTCTGAAAGCCACCTTAAGCATGATCATTCAATTAAGACCCGAAATGGTTTATCAAATCCTTCCAAAGATTGCTAAGCCAGAATCCATCTTCTCGGTTGAAATTGTCTCTGTGTTTGTATATGTGGATAGCCTCATGAACGAATCTCTCATGGTAGCCGGATGGCTTGCAGAGAACCTCCGTCTTGGAGAAGTCAATGTCATGTGAGCCCACTGAATTATAACAGTGATCTGCCACGGCCGAGGTGTTGGTCCTACCGTGTTTCAGGTCTGTTTTGTGTTCACGAATGCGGTCCGAGACATGTCGTTTGGTTTCTCCAATGTAACTACTACCACAGAGGCAACTTAGTTTGTAGATGCCAGGGTACTTTATGTCCGTAATCACATCTTTTACAGACGGAACCAGATCACGGATTTTATGTAATGTGTTGAATCGGACCTGGATCTTGTGTTTAGTCAAGATTTTGGAGATCCATTATTTTTCGTCTCCCCCCTCCTCTTTTCAGAACATAGATGGACTTGTCCATCTGAACAAACTGTCAAATCGCTATCCGTGGTGCTAACGTTAAAAAACACCGCCACTTTTTTCTAATTTTCTTGTTGTGGTTTTCACACCTGATGATGATTGCTTGTGTTGCAGTCGAAACGTCGTGAGAAATGTATTGTTTTATATTTTTATTATTTTTATGTTTCTCTTCTACGTGACTTTACCGAAAGAACCAAGAATATACAATATACTCTCTGAATTTGGGGATGGATTAGTGATGCAATGGCTACCACACTACATCATAAACCCGGTCATCTCAGTTTGATTGTCAGCCATCGCTAACAACAGTGGCAAGCTTTCTGAGTGAAATTTGTGTTTTTCCTCTGTTCTGAATAGGTTTCCTCCGGGTTCTCCTGTTTTATCCAAAATATTAAAAAAACAATACATTTGGAATTGGCCCAAAATCTCAATACTGAAAAATGACTTGCGAATTAAGAGTGTCAAAATATTTAAACGCGTATTGAGCCCTCCCTTCACCATCTCTACATTGGGTCAAACTTAACATCTCTTAATGATCGATGGCTTTTGCATCAGATCTTATTTATTCACGATGAACTTACAAAAAAATCAGCAGACTACCTGCTGGATCTCCTTACTGTTTCGAAGAATAAATGTGACCTAAGGTCTTCGCTCATTTACCAATTTCACATTCCTTATTACCGTACAAATACTGGAGGAAGGTCCTTTACTGTTGATGCCCCCAGGCTCTGGAATGCCTTTGCCAATAAACTGCAACTTGCATCACTACCTGTGAGATCTGCACTCAAAACTGTTCTTGAGGAGCTGTACACCCCCCGCTGCCACTGCTATGCAGAGTGGCCTGAAATCACATGCACCGCTCTGGATGTCCGCTGCAAAGTATGATCTTGAGTTTCGATTATAGTGTGCTGATCTTTAAAGGTCCATTAAAAAAAATATATACTCCTGCTGATACTCCTGTTGTTATGGAGTGACTCGTGCTGCCAGCTATGGCTGCAAAGTTTAGTCGTACATGTTATGTATATGGTTTATTGTTAAATGTGAATTGCAGTTCTTATTATCACTGTTACATTGTTTTTATATAGCTTTATTTTGGTGATTTCGAAAACCTATGGTTAGGCCATGTTTGTTTGTTGAAGTACGGAGTTAGCCTGATAACTTTTTCTAAATTGTCTTATGGTTGTTATTGATCGACTTGCATCCCACTGGGATTTTTGCACACTGCGTTGATATACGGTGCTTATTTCTGGAAGATTTTACAGGTTTTTCCTGGATGTTTATTTTGCGCGTCATCACTTTAAGATGTTCTTTGTTCATGTTTTGTTTGTTGGGGTTGCACCCGAGTCAAGAGCCTCATGGCTCACAGGGCTATACCTAATAAATGAAACTGAAAACTGAAACCAACCCACACTGATTGGAGTGATGCCGTATCACAATGTGTAAAGGACTTCATCCAGCGTTAGATTGAAAGTATATGATACATTAATTAGCCACGCCTAAATTAAGTCTTTATCATCCCTCGAGGTCTTGCAGCTCTTACATATGAGCTGATGTCGTTGTTAGATCTCCATGGTAGATGTCCTCTTTGGTGTATTCCCTTCTTTGGCTGCCACTCGATGATTAGTCTCAAGTTCAATGTATTTTATTAATTATTTGCATTTTTGTACCTTTCCGTATCTCTTCCCATCTTCATTATCTCTTTTTTGAATACAGATAACTTGTTCTATGCTCTTTTGCATTGCCCCTTACTTTCTATATATATACTATACCCATACAAATATCGAAACTCTTTGACGTTTTACATTTGCAGCTGGCGTATAAGTTATGGCTGTGAATTCTGACTAAATTATTATATGAATGTATGGTTGTAATCCATTCTGGTATCATCATGCGGGTGTTTTCGTGGTATGAATTGATCGGCAGATGGCTCAGCAGTATGTATGCGTGTTGAACTTCTTTTGCACCATACGTAGCCAACAGTGCTAATCGAAGGTACAGAAACAGAACAGCAGAGCAGCGAACAGCTAGCAAACAGAAGGTCGTGTGAATTCAATTCCTGGTTGGGGGGGTAACTCATCCCATCATTATTCCTCCGAAGTCAATAAAGTACCACTTTTTGGAAGTCAACAGTGGTTGCAATATGGATGGACTTGTCCTCGTCATATGAATGTTGAATTTGCACCACTGGCTCAGGGCTGTAAAAGGGAAATGAGCACTGTCTCAATGCTAATTTGAGTAAGAAGTCACTGCATGAATTGGCATTAGTACATCCTCCACAGGGAAAACTCAACGATAGCACGAGGGGAAAAAAATCACGTAAATATATTTCCATTCTTCCAAGAATTTGGATATAATGTTATCGTTTGAATCTTTACTGAAAAGTGTGGAAAGTGAACATTTAGGGACATCTGATACAGGAAGGCGCAGCTTGGGATTCATGTGCTGCAAAACGTGCTTAGCCATCAGAGGCAGGCAACAACATTAATCACCTGCTTTGACCTGTGAAACAGTGAAGGCAGTGTGTAATTTCCTCCTTCCTCTTTGTTAAGATATATTGCTGGACCAAGCCCAGTTAAAAGGTTAGGATCTTGATGATCATCGCTTCTTGTAAAGTAATTGTGAGCTCGGTGAGCCTCGTGTCCACAATGTGTACGTATTACACTCTTACACCAAGCTCTTGTATCACTCATTGTCTTTTTTTAGATCGGTCGCCTGAGGACAAGACTTTTGGGAGGATTTACCTCGGCGTAAACACGCAGCAGTGAAGAATGACGCACTGAATCCGCCGGCTACATGGAATATCAGATGCCCAGTGGACCCCAAGTACGAACACGTTCATAACAATGTCCATGAGGATTTCACATTAAAATCTGTCAGGACCGTGGCACCACAGGTGCATATATCCTTGTACAATTACTAGAAATAGCTTGGATTTAAATACTAGTTTATAAAATCTATACTTGTACTATCTATGTAACTTTTGTGCCACAATATTTAGATGTAAATTTTGCTCATATGTGGTAAGACAAGAAAAGCAATGCAGAAGTCTGGAAGGGAATGTGGCTGGCGATTGTTGTAGATATAATCAGGCAAAAATGGCTGCTCTCGGTTGGATGTGTAAAGGATGGGGGAGGCGAACTGCCGAGACTGGCATTTGAACGGTCTTCAAGGCCCGATCTTGGAGGTCGTAGGTCTACTCTGTAGCAGCTGTAGAATCTGGTTTCGGGGGTAGAAAGAATTGGCGAGGCGTAGTGGTTTGAATGGCTCTAGCCATGATGACACCTTGATCTTTGAAAGTGGTTCTCTATGATACTGTGGCAGAAAATATTGAATCCAGGATACTGGAGTTTTTATTTCTTCACTTGTCTCTTTTCTTGCGGAGATTTATGTAATGGAGTTATTGGCCATCACAGAGTTTGTTGTCTTCATTGAAGTTCTAAATCACAGAGGTGTTATTACTGCAGTAACAGTCCCTGGATATTTTTGCATGCTTCATATTTCAAATTAAAAAGTATTGGTCGATAAGATGAATTCCTCAAAATGTCTAAGTGTTCTTTCCTCAGATTAGCATTAGTTAATGCACATCTCCATTGGTGGCCCTGGGCTAGAGATGAAAATTCCACATTTTTGTTTGAAGGAATAGTTTTCCACAGGATAACCTAGGTTGATAATAATAATCAAAAAATAAATATGTAATAAATAGTATGCAACATTACATGTATTTGATTGGATAGCACTTAATGTGTTTTACTCGTTAAATATGTACTGTGGATAATCCCTTGAGGAGGAGCATCTCTCATTTGCCAAGGTGTCCAGGGTGTCAATTGGCACAAAACATAGCAGAGCACTCGACTCACAATTATAACGTTATGAGTTTCATTCAGTCAGGGGTCAAATTAGCCATCATTCTTGCAGAGTTGATAACAATGAATAGTTGTGAGGAAATGTGTTCTGATGGATAGACTGTGCCCTGCTATAGGAATGCAGAATTTAAAACAAACCACCAACAGACATGAGCACTGTCCTAATCCTTCTGTCCATAGGTCCATTTTCACACCATCATAATAGATCCTCAACAGAATAAGCACCATCACATTTCAACCTCGTAATTTAGTCACAACACGTATGTGAGTGACTGAGTGTGCTTGCTTTGTGTGTGACACATGCCAAATTGAAAGCAGATACAATGAGACGGTTGCAGGCAGGTGTGTGTGGTCCTCACATAGATAGAGAAGAACAAACATTTATTTACGATGAAGAACCATCTCCCGAGGACATGTAGTATTAAATACCTTTAAGATTCAGCCCTCTGTCAATCGCAGTCCCTCTTGTTATTAATTTTTTTTTTCCCTACAGCACTGTAATTGAAAAAAATAATAAAAATATAAATGTGTTGCAAGCGTATGCTGGCACCCTTGCTGATACAGTTTGGGCCTGGCCATGACCCAGGGGTTGTGAGTGCCAGGCCATGGCGATCTAGCCAAGTGTGCTCCGAGGCCAGGAGAGAGATCACGAAGTCCCACTGCACACACAAATACCAGAGTTTTAACTTGAATACCACAGGGCACACCTGATATTCAATGTATCACTTTAAACGTTCAAAATGTCAACTTGCTCAACTGAGTTTGGAGTAGCACTAATCTCCCACTTCAGCAAAAAAAAATTCTTGCTGTGGGTTTCCCACCTGATGATGATTGCTTGTGATGCAATCGAAACGTCGTGATTTATTTTATTTTATACCTACGTGACTTTACCGAAAGAACCAGAGTATAGCACTAATCTGTTTGTAGCTCCAAACCAGTGAATAATGTTTCACACTCCTACTGTGGGGATCATTCCATCCATAGGGCACAACTCCAGACTTCTCATGAGGTTGGAGTAATTTTAACAACCACAGATAATTATGGGATGGCTTCCCTCCTATCTGGAATCTTAACCCGCAACTTTAAATTGTGAGTCTAGCTCGAAACTAAAACTGCTACTCTGCTGACTGTGAATACGCATGCTATCCTATAAAATTAAACTTTATGAGTACACCCAAGTTCTCAAACATTACAATTTGTCCCACGTCTATAATGATATCGGCCAGGTGGGTCGGTGGTAGAGTGAGCGATTCACAATCAGAGAGGTTGCGAGTTCAAATTATGGTTGGTGGTTGACTCAGCCCATCATCCGTCCTTGAGTTTCAAAATGAGTCCCACTTCGTGAAAATGTCAACAGTAGTTGTCCTATGGATATACTTGACCCTACAATAGGAATGCAGAATTTCCACGACTGGCTCAGGGCTGTAAACGAGAGATGAGTACCGCTTCGAAGCTCTTTTGAGTAAGAAATCACTTTAGCTTTTAACAATTACATCACTTTCACATTTTCTATCACAGCACCTGGAGATTAGCATGCTCTCATTTTTGTTATCATCATCATCAAAAGTTCCTTTACTCCAAACTCTCTGTTGCCTCCCCATTCCATTTCTCTCCACAACAAGTTCCCCACTCTCCCTTCTCTCAGTCTCAACCCAGCAGGCAGCATGCCAATACTTGTTGCGACACCTCATCACGACCGTATATCACAATGAATACAAAAATGGACTTTGCCATAGGACATAATGCAAACAACATGTTGAAAATTCCCTCACTGCAAAAATATATTTGTAACAGTACGCCTTATCGGCATTATTTTAGGTTCATAGGCTATATATATATTTATTTACATACAACAAGGCCAAATGGGAACATAATTATAAAGATGTGCACTCTGCGTATCACTAAAAATGCAGCAGAGTAGATACAAATGTTTAGCCTGTATGCACAGCAATTAACAATGTTGTCAACTTATAAAGTGAGACCAATCAAACTAAAATAGTGCGTTTTTTTAAATTGCCAATAAAACAAGAAGCATGGAACCCACATTTTAACATATTGCTGTAAATTAAACGTTAAAAGTTGATAACGCGAGAGGTCAATTCACAAGGGCCTTTCTATTTGGTCCTTGTGAAAAGTGTCACTCTCAATAAACCAAGTACCACTTTGTGGAAAGTCAAGAGTAGTTGTACAATGGACAGAATCAGCAAATATAAATCTAGAAACCCCACTTATGACTCAAGGCTATCGAGGGGAGATATTTAATAGCGAACATTTGACTTGCTTATGGAATGTGTGGTAACAGAGTGCTCCAGCTAAAGGTATCACTTGAAAAGCAAATCCACATTTTGATTAAATAAGAGGACTTGTATATTACATTAAATCACAACATTAAATACATGATTCAGCAGCACGTTTAGTTGGGCCTAGTTCTACAGTTTATTGAGGGCTTATGTTTTTGGGGGTTTTCTAAATTAAGTGTTTTCTTAAATCTTGACTTAAAGCTTTCGTGGCTGCAGGAATTCATATTCTTGGGTCTTGCGGTAAGTCACTTAGATAGGTTCAAATAAAATAACAAAAAACTACGAAATTTCGATGGCAACACAAGCAGTCGTCTTCAGGAAAAAGGGGCGACCGCTTGTGTTGCAATTGAAACGTCGTAGTTTTTTGTTATTTTATTTTAACCTATCTACGTGACTTTACCGAAAGACCCAAGAATATAAGTGTTTTATTATTCTTTGGTTCTATCGGTAAAGTCACGTAGATAGAAAAATAATAATAAAGTGAGAAGAGGTGCTGCCACTGGAGCAGGACGCCGTCTGGCCGCACGACGGCTCACCGCCGTCGGAGAGGGTGCTCCGGGAGACACATTCTCGCCTCGTGGAGCTTCTTCAAGCCGCAGCGTCCATCATCGCGGGGATCCACTGTTGGGGAGCCGGCGGCGGAGGAGAAAGGGATTTCCCGCCAATCGGGAGTTTCTGCGGTTCCCGCCGAAATTTCCCACCAATCGGGAGTTTTCGCGGTGCCCGCCAAAATTTCCCGCCAATTGGGAGCTTCCACGGCCCAGCCCGTTCATACAGCCGGAATCCTGTTGGTGGGGCGAGGAAGCTGCACCAAGATTGCTGGTGGACGTCCCATCTCTTCAACGTCAACTACCCTTCATCAAGGAATTTTCAGCCGTTGGAGGCGACTGGGCAACCTTCCAGCGGCGCTTCCTCACCAACAGTCACTTGGCAGGGTGGACGGAGCAGGAGGCGCTGAGAGCGCTGCCCGCCGCCCTGGAAGACAATGCCTTGGTGGCGTTTTTAACCATCCCACCGGCGGACAGGGACATGCTGCAGCAGGGACTGAGGCAGATGGCGGCGATCTACAGACCGCCATCCAACGTGGAACATCGGTTCGCTGCACGGAGGTTGGGGGAGGCTAACGCCAGCAGCGCATTGCTGCTGGCGTTAGCGAAGGCTACCTTCCCCAGGATGGACCATGACGGTCTCGACTCCCTGGTCCTGGAGAAGCTGCTGGCGTTGGCAAGAGACCTCCACATCGTCATACAAGCTGTCAATGACGATGACTTGTGTCCTCTCAAAGTTGCATCCAGGCACACCTGCTTTTGCAATGAGAGAAGGGGTTGGCGGCGTGTACCACACCTTGTGATACACCCAAAGAGACGGAGCCATTTCAAGCCTACGCATTGGCTCAGGGCAGAGGTTGGCGAAGGGATGGCATGGAGCAATGGGACGACTTCCAACACCAGGGGAGGACATCACCTCGTCCGGGGCGCGGCCTCGCCGTGTGTTTTAACTGCAACCTGATGGGACACCTCTCGTTGAGTTGCCTCGTGCCACGATGAAGCCTCTCCGGACTACCGCCATCGTCTGCCCGACCATCCTCCTCTCTAAGGTGAGTCGCAACACATCACACACTCGGTCCCTGAATCCATCTCACTCATCTCGTTCCGTCGTTTTCTCGTTCGCATCGTGCGTTGGTGAGGGGGGGGTTCGGAAAGTGCCCGGGCCAACTGGCTGCTCCGACCCGGTCAGTGATCGGAGCTGGCCCATAGAGTAGTTGTCGCGACCGTTGGTTCATCTGTTGTTGTTGGTTCGATCGAGGGGGTTGACATGAGGATGCTCGTCGACACTGGTGCGTCGGCGACCATCATTTCCAAGCTAATTTATAACATTTTGCCCACTAAATGTCGTATTCTATGCCCCGTTGATGTTCCGTGCTTCGCCGCAAACGGCGGCTCATTGGGCATCATTGGCAAAATATCAGCACAGGTGTGTATTGGTGATGTAAAATTAACAGGACCGGTTCTCACCTCGACGTCCCTTGTGGTTCCATGCTTGCTCGGGACTGATTTTTTGGGTAAAATGCCTGTAAAAATTCTCATTGACCAAGGGTGTATTGAATTGCCATCCGGCCATCGTATGGCATTTTTACCCTCTCTCGCTTGGATGTGTACGGCCAACACCACTATACAAGTGTGGTGAGCCCAAAGACGAGGGAGAGCCGGTACTTGAGGCAACACGTTTATTAACAAACAAAGCTCAATACAGGGTCCCTAACACAAAGGGGTAACAGCCTCTTACACCCGCTACCTGGGGAGGTATGGCCTCTGGGCTATCGTGCCTCCGGAAACTGGGAGCACTCTAACTTTCAGCCCTCTGGCTAGGGGCCCTAGGGGAGGCTACCCTGACCCGACCCAGCCTAGGTCCTCGGGTCCTGGCCACTGGCCCACTCAGTCCCAGCCCTTACAAGGACGTCGGGTCTGGGGGTGCCCAGGGTCCGACTACTGGCCCACTCAGTCCCGGCCCTTAGAAGAACAGCGGGTCTGGGGGTCGCAGGGTCCTACTCTAAGCCTGGTCTTCAGTCTTCGGCTTGGGGACGTTTGGGAACACCCTTGTCCAGGACATAGCCCTGGAGAAAGGCCTCCGTGAAGGCTGCTGCCGAATCATTGGGGAGTGGCCAGGCCATAGGCCATCGAGTGAAGTATTCGACCCCAACCAACAGGTACTTATTACCCCTGGGAGTGGTGGGAAATGGCCCAAGAATGTCCAGCACTGCAAGTTCATTCACGCGGGACACCTGAATGGATTGCAATGGCAGGTGGGATGGTCTGGTGGGAGGTTTTTGGTGTGCGCACTGGACGCAGCCCTGGAGTAAATTGGCGACATCCCTTGCCATGCCCGGCAAGTGTCTTGTGTACTCCTAGATGCAGAAGGCACTCGTGGGCAGCCCATACCATCTTCCCCCGCAGGGAAGTTGGCACCACCAATTTTTTAATCTGCAAGCAGCCATCCCACCTCATGAGAAGGCTGCCCTGCATGGCGAAGGAGACAGGGCCCCCACGACCTCTATCCCCGCGAGACTCACTGGCGCGACGGCGCAATTTATGGAGGGCCCCGTCCTCCAACTGAAGACGCCCCCACTCAGCCAAGCTCAGGCTCAATAAAGCATCACATGTGACCGACGCCTCGGGCACACTAGAGGAATCAATCCCAGCATCGGCCGTAGCAGCAAGGGTCGGAGGTGAGCCATCAGTTGGCAGCTTGCAATGCTCCGAACCTGTGAAGCACACACATCTCCCGGCAGGCGGCAACCGCGATAGCGCATCAGCGTTGGCGTGTCGGATGCCCTTACGATAGGTGACCGTGAACGTGTAGTCTTGGAGAACTTCGAGCGAGCGGGATAGTTGGCCAGATGGGTGGTCGACACGTAACACGTATTGAAGTGCCGCATGGTCCGAACGCACGGTAAAATGCCTCCCATAGAGGTATGGCCTGTACTGTTGGATGAAGAAAACAATGGCCAACAGTTCTCGACAGGTGACGCAATAGCGTTCTGTGGGGGACAACACTCCGGTGTTACTGGTGTCCGTGTCTAGAACGAATGGCATGGAAAAATCTGAGTATCGCAAAGGAGGGGCATTGACCAGGGCATCACAGAGGGAGTCAAATGCGGTCTGTCCCGCCTTTCCCCACTGAAATTTCTCACCTTTAGCCGTCAGTGCATGGAGGGGCTCTGCAATGGATGCAAATCCTGCCACGAAGCGCCGATAATAAGAGGCAAAGCCAATGAAGCTCCGAACATCCCCGACCGAAGTGGGGGTAGGCCATGAGCAGACGCAACTCGTTTCTTCCGGGTCACCGGCAATGCTGGACTGACTAACGATGTGGCCAAGGTAACGAACAGAGTCCCACAGAAGATGGCGTTTCTGGGGTTTTAATTTCAAATTCGCAGCCCACATTTTAATGAAAATGGCTTTCAGCCAGTCAAGATGTCCGTCAAACGTCCGGATGAAGACGATAACATCGTATAATTAACTAAGGCATGAGTGCCACTGGAGTCCAGCGAGGACCAGCTCCATTAGGTGCTGGAACGTTGCTTGGGCTGAGTTGAGGGCCATGGGTAGCCGGTTAAACTCAAAGAGGCATTGCGGTGTGCGGAAGGCCGTCTTAGGTTTTGACGCCTCGTCAAGGGGCAATTGCCAGAACCCTGACAAGAGGAAATTTGACATCGGCCGCACTATGCTTCTAAGCCACCATCTGGATATGGGGGACGCTACTCCCATCCGGCAGAACCCTTACCGGCTGAGCCCTGCAGAGAAGGAGCACGTTCGGCTAGCTGTTGATGAGATGCTAGCCGAAGACATCATTGGTGGATGGTGAAATGATGTCTTGCGCTTCTGTGTCGACTTCCGCAAGCTTAACAATATATCTGTGGCTGATGCGTATCCTCTCCCTCGGATGGACGATTCCCTGGACACTCTAGCAGGAGCCCATTACTTCTCTTCTCTTGATCTCTTGTCTGGATTTTGGCAGTTGCCACTAGATGAAGCCTCTAGGCCCAAAACAGTTTTTCATACACCTCAAGGCCTATTCGAATTAAATCGGCTTCCGATGGGGCTCCACTCTGCGCCAGCTACGTCCTGGCTGGCCTTCAGTGGTACTCATGCTTGATATACCTCGACGATGTTATTGTCTTCAGCCTTACGTTCAAAACATCTTGACCGGTTACTTGCTGTCTTTCTCAAAATACATGCAGCCAATTTGAAATTTAAGCCGCAGAAGTGTCACCTCTTTCAAAAATCGGTTCGATATCTCGGTCACATCGTTAGTAAATCGAGAATTGCGACAGACCCGGACAAAACCGTGTGTGTTCGAACTTGGCCGACCCCCACGTCGGTGGGAGCGGTGCGAAGTTTGATAGGATTAGTGTCTTATTATCGCCGTTTTGTCGCCAGGTTCGCTACCATTGCAAAACCTCTCCACGCCTTGATGGCTAAGGGTCAGAAGTTTCATTGGGAGGAGGAGGAGGAGGAGGAAGAGGCCATATTTGTTGCGCTCCGCGATGCCTTGGTGAATGCCCCTCCCTTCCACTCCCCCGACTTTGCCTCGCCGTTCGTCCTTGATATGGACGCGAGCAACACCCGAATTGGTGCTGTTCTGTCACAAGTTGTCAATGGTGTGGAGAGCATTGTCACATATGGCAGCAAAGTGCTGTCGCCGGCCGAGCAGCAATAGTGTCACACGCCGGGAACTCCTAGTGATTGTTTTATTTGTGCAACAGTATCGTCCCTACTT